GCCAGCACGGAGGGGTTTTACTTACCTAACGTCCGCGGGCGGCGTGGGGTAATGAGCCCGGGTGCGTGCAGGGGGGCCGGCCTGATAGCGGCCTGGAGCTGCGCCGTTGGGTCGGGCTGGTGCAGCAGTTGCGTTGATGACGGGGAACCTGCTGCGGAGGTTCCCCGCCGCCCTCTCCTGCGAGCGGTGCCGCCCCTCGGCCTGGTTCGGCGCGTAACCCTATGGCACGCGTACCGCTTCTGCGCTGCGTTAGCAAATAACGAATATTTATCCTCAATATATTTTAAAACCAAAATGTATCTTTAAGCATAAGGAAACAACTTTTTTTTTTTTTTTTGTGCTCTGAGGGTGTTTGAATGCAGACTGCCCGGAGAGGTTGTGGAGTCTCCATCCTTGGAGATTTTCAAAACCTCTCTGGCCACAGTCTTGGGTAACCTGCTCTAGCTGACCCTGTTGTGAGCAGAGGGTTGGACCTGACAATTTCCAGAGGTCCCCTCCAACCTCAGCTGTTCTGTGATTCTAAATGTATATTATTGATATGCTAATCTTCTTACTGTCACGTTAACCAGCTCCTCACAGAGGATCTGAAACTCTCATCTAGACAGACAAAATTCAAAAGTGTGTTCTCGTGTACTTGGTGGTTTTGGTGTGCCTGTGAAAGCACTTCACAGTGCTGTGTAATGCTCTGAGGCTGGGTAGCCAGCTCAGTTGACTCAGTGCTCTAGCAGAAAACTAACCAGCAAAATATATATATATATATATATTTTTTTTTTTTTAGCCAAGCCTATGAGTGTTTAGGGTGGGCACAAAAGATGCAGTGGAAACGTGCAACTGCGAGCAGGGCTGTTTTCATTGACAGCTTGCACCGTCATAGACAGCATAAAAGAGTTGCAAAACTGCATTTTGAATCACAAAATGTAGCAGGGGTCTAGTCCCAATTTTGTCAACCGGTTTTTGATATATAGTTGTCATAGCTGAACTAGTGAAGATTTATCTTGATTAGGTATTGCAAATTCCTGAACAACCAGTAGAAGGTTGCCTCTTTTGAATGATTGTAGGCAGGACTGGCAGTTCTCTCTTTTGTAAGTATTTTAAAGAATTTTCCCTTACCTCTTCATCAAACTGATTTTTTTTTTTCCATGCTTAAACTCAGTCGAATGAATTCAGAAAATCATAAATCTTTCTGTCCAGAACCCCTCACTTCCATGTGTGCGTTCATGTCACTTGCGTGGCATTGTATTTTAAGATATAAGTGCTCTGAATATGTCTACCCCTTATGTATTTTTAGTGTCTGTTGAATGTCCTGAGAGCAGACTTAATACTTGACAAGGGAAGTATTAAGTTCAGTGTAGAGTTTAAAACAATTATGTAGTCATCCTGTCGCAACTCACTGTAAAACTCATTAACTTTATTGCTTGTTAGGACAAGTGACCATGGCAGGCCATGACTCAGGATCTCAACACCAGTTCACTGGATTTCAGAAATACTTCAATTCCTATACCATCACAGGCAGGAGGAATGTATGTATTATGTAAATTAACTTTTGTAGTCTAGCATAATGGTGTTTTGGGGGGTTTTAGCCTGAAACTAAACTTTTATGTTTTTCAGTATGTAATAGCGACGTATACAAGCATTGCAATGCTCATCTTATACTTCAAGCTTAGGCCTAAAAAGAAAACTCCTGCTGTGGCAGAAAAGTAAATGGTAAGTGGCTGGTGTTCTTCCAGGACCAAAATGATTCAATGCCAGTCCAAGGAGAAGGAGTGAGGAAGGATGAGTTGCTAACAAAATATGATTAGAGATAGACGTGTAGGCACAGGAACCTCATGGTTCAGTTGAGGTTTAAAATGGTAAATACAAAGTCAGTTTGCTTTGGAGTATTTTGAAAGAAGTTGGTTGCTAATGGGGCATGTGGAAATTATGGGTTACCAGGATTGTTACTCTTCTGGAACGGTAAAGAGGGTTAGAGATGTTAGAGGGGGAGGAAGAGCAAGCAAGAAAGGGGGAATGGAAGGGGGTTGCAGCTAGGTGTCTCGGGCTTTGCCTAAAACAACAGTGCCTCTAGCCTGACGTTTGCTGTAAAATAGGGCTAACCTGTCACTTTATTGGGTATAGAAGTAATGAAGTAATATTTGAGGACTTGTTTGTTAGTGATATTGGAGAATTCCAAGAAGAGATTAATACATTCTCTTCAAACCTTGCTTTAAACAGAGTAAAGGAACTATATACCCTGCACACCTGATTATGGAAGAGTCCTATAGAACAGTGCTTAGACTAACGTAGTGAATCCCTGGAAGGGTGAACTAAGCCTGCATGGGTGGCTATTCTTCTTATTTCTTAACATAAGCATTTGACTTGTGAGTTAGAGCATGTTAAAAAGAAGGTCCATGCGACTAAATCTGATAAAGCTTAGCAGACTTCTACGTTCTGGTATAGCAACAAACAAGTGTTACAAAATACTGGCAAATAGTAGAGTCCACTTTCAAATACAAAATTCCCACTGAAATGGCGTTTTGAAAGAAACTGTGGGCTGTCCTTATAATCTGCAGTAACTGGAAACTAATAAGCTTAGCATGTTAAAAGAATATCTGTCATTTTTGTCTTGGGTATGGTCAAGCTTGCTTGCTCGCTCTTAACTAGTATTGTTTGGCCTTTAGGGAGAGGGACGCTTGGTCACTAGTACCACAGTGCAAGACTTGCTATGGTTGATCTCTCTTCTGTTGGCAGGTTGCTGGCATGGCTGAACCTCCCATCATTGTAACAGAAGTTGATGTCCTGTTATGGCTAGTCTAATAAAATATATACAATGACTTGTTTTATCTAAAATATGAAATGGTGAAACGGAGCATAATTGTGACACTTAGCTTTTTTTTTTTTTTTTCCTCTGTCAAAAATATTTATCTGTAGTGAAGTAGCTGATTCTTGTCACGGCTAGCCTGACTTAACTCTTTTGCCGTTATGATATATCATCCTAAAATGTCCTGAGCACCAGTAGCAACGTGGCCATGAGAGACTTCAGCAGCATGAATGTCCTACCAAGCACAGAGCTTGCAGCTGATCGAAGCATCTCCACGCTTCCAAATGGCTTACTGGTTGTCCTGGCTGCTCCCAATTTCTGGATTCTAAGTTGGTGTTTTAAAAGTTTAAAAGGAAACCATGGCTCCTTCGCTCATAGCAATTTGATGCAGATTAATAGGATTTCCTTCTGCCTCAGTTGTCTGTATTGTGCAACTTCTCATTACAGAACCTGTTTGCTTTGGATGGAAAAACCTCCCAAATCTAGTGTGTGTGCCCCCTTTTCCCAGGGAGGACAAAAGATTGATTATATGGAGGTGCTTGTTTTCTTTTGCTTATCAATTACTTCGCTTCCTAATCTCAATGTTATCTATTATATAGTGCAGTGACTCCTCAGCATTCAGCTGAGAGTCTTGCTTTGCACTGCTTTAGTCACCTTAGTTGAAAGATTGGGGGTGAGGGAGGTAGAGGACCAAAACAATGAATTGCAGCGCTTGGTGCTGGAGCCCAGCTATTAAATAGGGTATTTAAGTTTTTTCTGTTAGAAGCCTCTCTTGCAAAAGTAACTGTTTCTGTTAGCTGTGCAGGAGAGGCTTGTAACAGCCAGAAAGAAAATGGCTTACTTCTTGCTGATATTAAACCCTTATAATGGATTGTGTGTTGCTTGTCCAACCTGGAGCGTATCATGCCACATCAAGGCCAAGTGTTTTGCACCTTTCTGGAGACCATGAAGGATAAATGCTATTGGATTTGGATGACTCTAAAAACAAACAAGCACCAACCAGCCAGCATGTAGCCAACAGGAGCAAAGCTGAATCTTCTCCTTCAGTGTAAACATGAGGAAATGTATATAAGCATTCCACTTAGTGTGTAAAGGCCCCTTTTCCTGTTGAGCCCTGACCATCTGATGAGGTGAAGGGATGTGGCTCGATTCATCAAAAGATTCATTTCAACTGAGGGTTAAGAGACTGTATTGCAGTCAGTGGCTGTGGGATCACTGGAGATGGAAAAAAGTAGGCTACAGTCACCTTAAGAGATTTAATGGAGGCTTGAATTCCTGTGGCAAGACTCAGGCCTGAGCACTAACTGAATCTGCAGGACCTGGCAGTTATTGTCCACCTAAAGCACTGCAGAAAGTCACTGTACATTGGGCTTGTTATTTGTCTCTAGGACTTGCTAGAGAATATAGTACAGGGAGAGAGCTGTGGCTAGTAACCTGGTCCTCACCCTGCATAGTCACAGATTTTAGTAGATGAGTGAATCTTTTTCCTAGACGCAGCCACTCACTAGATGAGGTATTCTTACCACAGTTAGATACTGCTCCCTGCCCACCCCACCACTGAAATAAAATTTGCAATTTCTCTTTCTTGTTTTCTACCCGCTGCCTTTCTCCGTCTCCTCTAAAATCCCATATTTTCCTGAGATTTCATGTTACAGCTTACATGTGAATGTGATTACACAACACTGTACTTCTTGGAAGGCTGCCAGCAGCAGGGGTCGAACCTGGAACTTTTGATGCTGAAGTATACAAACATACATCTGCTGCTGCCCTCAGCTTGGGAAGTAAACTATTACAGGTTAGTGGAGAAAGGAGGGTGCAGTTCAGATAAATTCTTCCTCTCCTATCAATTTGTTTGCATAGCAGGCCTCCACTACATACAGTCTTTCAAATGAATGGTTGCTGTAACAACGTAACGCACCTAATTAACTAGAACCCATCACCCCCAGTTAGAACTAAATTGCATTAAATAGATAAACATAAGTTATCAATTACCCATTCCTAAATTGTTTCCCTTAACAGAGGGCTCACACTTAGCAGCAGTGATCTTGCTTCCATTGCAACTATCAAGGAAAGAGAATGTCTTCCTGTAACACATAGTCTATAGACACCAAGTGGTTTTAGTATTTATTATAATATCAAAAGTATAAAACTGTACAAAATACAAAGGCAGAATGTGGCAGTGTTTTTTTTAAGCTGTCAAAACTGTACATGTTTTAGGTAACTCTTCTGATTCACTGTAACTGTACCCAACTGCTCATACTGAGTGCTAGGAAGTTTTGTTGAGGTACCAGTACTAAGAACTCAGCCATACACACGAAAAAAAAAAAAAACAACCTCCATAATAATTTAGTTTTAACCTTTTTTTCCCCTTAAAGAGAAGACTTCAAGGTGAGCTTCCTACTGGATTTTCCAACCTTTATTTTGACATGTAATGCACCTTTATTCCAAGGGTTAGAGGCAGAGAAAGGGTGAGATGGGAGGTAGTTCTCTGTTCACTTTACCTTAGAAACGTCAAGTCTCACTTTTATTTTCTCTAGAAAGCCAGCAGATTATACAGGTGTTCAAGCCCTTACTGGAAGCAGCGAGGAATGCAAAACAGATTCCCCCCTGTATAGCTTGTAAGAGATTTGAAAGAAACAGGGCCTGTCCTTTGATGCTGGTGCTTCTATTAAAAGACATAGAAGTTAAACCTCCTAGTGTTTTGCATGTTTTGCTTTTCCTTATAAATTAAGTTCTGAGCTTTACTGATTTTCCAGGAAGACTTCCGGGGGACTGGGGTAACATGTTTTGGTGGGTGGAAATTGTCACCTCAGCAGACAAGTTGACCTTTGAGAAGCTTCAAAAGCAAACTGATACTACGCTTAGGACTGATAAATCTTTTTGCTCTGCAATGTTTCGGTTTCTTGGCTCTTCACTGTGTTCATTTTGATATATCAAATCTTATGCAGAAAGGTAGCAGGTTTTTAAAGCTCTCTAGCTCTTTTCTAATACACCGCAAAAGGGTTCAAGTCCACTGTTTTTAAGAGTGGGTAAAGTATTTCAGTTATGCCTCAATCCCTTCTCTTCATACAATCACGTATTCAGGTTTCACTTCTGGTTGTCTATCACACTTAAAACATTTAGGCTGCCTCTGAAAGCAGAATGACAAGATCTGCATTTCTAATATCTCAAATGAGCATAGGAGCTTGAAATCTTTTCAGGACTTAAGTACTCAGATACATAAAAGCTATACCTGTAACTTCCCTCTAGTTCCCCACGAGCCTCTGCCTGTTCGGCCTACTTTTTCAATGCCCTATTTGTTGCGGTGTTACTCTCACCATACCTGTTGCTCACCCCAGGCTATGGTGAATTCCACTGCATTCTTCTTTTCTGAACGTATCTGAACAGTTTTTGCCTATGTTTGAGACTGAGTAAACATTCGCCAACCGTAAGTTAAGTGCTTTAAAAAAAATTGTTTGAGAACACATACTGAGGGTATTAACTTTCCAAAAGTTTCAGCAGAGCTCCAAACCATCTCTGAGAGGAGACAGCTGTTTTCATATACATATATATATATATATATATTTTTTTTTTTTTTAAATCAAAAGCACCATGAAACAATTCCTTCCTTTAAAGCCACGATGTCTTGTCACTCTCCCATATTTTCAAATTGTGGATAAATATGAAATGCAGAACTGAGAAGATGCTGCTTGCATTAGTTACATTGTTTGTTTTTTCCTGCAACAAACTAGTGGGGTCCACCTGTACAAGACATCCCTCCTTGTCTCAAATCCTGAGGTCATTACTGCAATGACTTGGCACAGTCAGTCTTATAAGCTTCATAACTTACTGTGAACTATAGGCTCCTGCAGCTAGCAGCAAGTTTCTGCGTGTGAAATGGAGGTGTACAACCGGGGTTGATTTGGTCATGTATGTACCTAGTAACAAGTCCTGCGAGTTTTCAGGCAAGTTTATATGTCCAGTGGCTGTAGTAAAATCATCAGTTTCTAAATCTTCAAATGCTTTCACAGCATCCCACAGCCGAACTGTGTTATCCATTGAACCTAAGAAGAAAATGGAGAACAACAGTTTAAGGTCTCACACTTTACAAAAAGGTATGGGGGAACAAGTTAATACAGCAAAAAGTAAAGCTCAAAGAAGTAGGTTTGCTCATAACAGGGAATACTTACGCCCTCTTCCTGCAAACAAATGGATTTTAACAAGCCTCTAACATAACTGAACACACACATTAAAGTTCTCAGGATTGGAGCCCTCACGTAACCTAAAAAGAAAGCTCTGTGGATAAAGCACAAGGACTTCCTTCTCCAAGCATATGGGTTTAGATTACACTGATCAGCACTGAGAAGGCAGGACTAGCCTGGGGTGGGGGGGCGCTACATGCCAGCTACAGGGCATGTTTATGATCCCACCACAAATGACAGTTTCTTTGTTCCCTACTGGGAAGATAATCAACATACTACAGGCCCAGAGATTTGCTTTCACTAGAGCATTAACAGATAAATTGAAGGAACCAGCCTGTGGGCTGAATCAAACCTATACCCTGTCCGTTAGCTTTCATTCCTGTGGTAGTGGCTCACTGAGGATTCTTCACTGCACTCCAATTAAGAACATATTACAAAACCAATCTAGAATATTTCTAGCCCTTCCTAAGGAAGTTATTCTGATGTGATTGCAGTGTCTGTGCATTGTTTTTTCTATCAGTACCTTGAACGTGTTGGCTAACATCAACCGGTTTACAGAAGGGAGTAACAGTTTAAAAATCAATAAATTCCTACAGATTTTATGAAAATAGCTGACTAAAGCTGGGGAGACTAAATTTAGTGCCTCCATTAAGGGAAAATGGAGAAGGAGCTCTGCTATATCAGACACCAAAGAATCCATGTGAACAAGCAGGAAAAATGAGCAGACTTCAGAAGTACCACTGCTTATAGAGCTATCTATTAGTTACATGCATATTTCTACATGCATATATAATATATATGCAATATTGCATGCATATTTCTACATCAACAATCTAACACAAAGAAATACTAAGGGAGTAGATTGCTTATCCTTTCCTCTCTCCTCTTACCAGTCCTGCTGCTTGTTCCCCTCCCATTCCAATACCCTGCCCCTCTCTTACTAGAGCTAAGTATTCCTCTTCTGCCCGAGAGTTATTTCTAATTTCTCCTTCCACCCGTGCCTCCACTGTTCACAGATCCTGAACTTCACTGCACTACCTTTTAACAGCATAACACTTTTCCTTCAGTTCCCAGGGCAGTGAAGGCTCACACTTAACAATCCTGTAAGTACTCAACTTGTACCAGTTTAATCTGCTACTTTTGCTAGGCAAGTGATTCTGATTTGCCTTCCTCAGTTTAAAGAATCAGTTATATCATTCCACTTCAGACTGATGGAGCACAATGGAAACTTCACTGTTCCCAGCGAGTTTTACCTGATGCTAAAATCTCTCCATCTCTACTGAATCTGAGTGCGTAGATAGTGTCAGTGTGCCCTTTCAATTCTCCCACCATCAAGCCGTGTCCAATGTCCCAGAGCAGAACTCTTCCATCTGTTGCTCCAGTAGCCAGAAATCGTCCATTTGGAGAAAATGCCAATGAATGAATTGGTCCCTGAAACACACGTTTGGGCAGAACTGATGAGGTCCTCTCACCTTCAGTCAAGCTGCGTTTGTTTTGAACGCTGCTCTTCAACATCCACCCCAGAATTAAGGTCACTTTCGTACTGCGAGGGATATGCCTTTACCTTATGTCCAGTGAATATTCTTACACAGTTCCCATTCAAAACATCCCAGAGCCGTACAGTCCTGTCTGCTGAGCCCGTAGCAATATAGTTAGAGTTGGGATGAAATCGGGTACATGTCACATCAGCAAGATGGCCAGCAAATATCCGTAAAGGCTGGTAGTGATCTGTTGCCCACAGACTTAAAAGAAAAACTTTTATTAATAAAGAAAATCCGAAGGAAGTTCAAGATCTGTTGCACACTGAGAAATACAGGAAGTAATTAAGCACTGGTTTCTTACTGGTCAGTTTACTAAATTAGCATGAACTGCTTTGGAAAAGTATGCATTTCAGATGAGAGAAAGAAAGAAAGAATATCCTGTCATGGTCGTTAAACAATAGAAAGAGAATACTTATGATTAGATGGACACATAAGAGCGCACCATCTCATTTGTTTTCAGAAAATTTAATGTGTTGAAATGCAAACAAAACTACATCAAAATATTTATTTTTTAATTCATGTGAAATAAAATTTATTCCTAGTAGGAAGGTGGGCTAGAAAATATCAGCTAATCACTTTCAAGGTGCCTCCCACCACAAAGTTACCAAAGTTACCAGGTAAAAAAGCCATCCAGTTTCTTACCGAGCCACTCTATCATGTCCCCCTGACACAAAGTAATATCCATAAGGAGAGAACTGCGTATCCCATACTGGATAGTTGTGTCCTTTATATCCCACCAAACACGTGAATGTTTGAAGACTCCATAGTCTGACAGTGCCATCCTCAGAACAGGACAACAGATAGTTCCTGTCACAGGAGAAAGTAGACCGTGTTATGTATGGAACTTATGCATAGGCTGTATATCCACTACACAAATACTATAACAATTTTATGATAAGAGAAATTGTTTGTTGACCAGCATTTGTTTAGCTTGTCACATATAAATGAACACTTTTGGCGAGGTAAGCAACAATAACCAATTCAAGATGAATCATATTTAGGTCCTTATGCAAAAAAGGGACAGGTTGGGATGCTGATGACACTAATTCTGATGACATGGCAATTCTTGGGGGGGGGGGGGGGGGAGAACAGGTAATCTTTAATCAGGAATTCCAGTTACGTGAAAAGAATGTGCAGTAAAGCTGTTACACTGTTACTTAAAACAAGAAGAACCCTCTAAACAAATCGTCAAGATGCCATACAAAGTTTACTTCCCAGCTGTGTTTCTGCTATGGTTGTTTCTTGTGTAGCACATAGCTATACTTTAGCTGTTTAAACATACTTTCTACTGTCCAGACTCTCATAATTACATAATGTTTTAAATTTCTTATTTTAAAGATACCCTGCTATACATTTTGAAAATAAAGGCTTCTAGGAGTTAAGAGAAACTTGTATAAGTGCAAAGATGTTCAGTCCTTTTTTATGCTTTGCATTATCTCAAGTGAAATCAATGCTGCAGTAGTTTCCCTCTCTACAATTCACTTGGTTAAAACCCAGCTTAGACCATCCTATTGGCAAAGCGTAGTTTATGTTGCCATTTAAGGCCTGAATCTCCAAAAAAGTGCTGGGCATCCTCAGCTTCTCATTCATTTCAGTAAAAGCTGACAACGCCCAACACCTTGGCCTTAACGAGCACTTATACTCACACAGCAGTTCCTTAAGACCTGCATACACAAGAATCACTGTAACCTTCTGGAAAAAGCTGCATTAACAACATGTTCGTATCAAGTAGCATATGATCAAGACTTGAGGCAAGCTCTCTAGGGAACTCGTAAACTTATTTTACCTATCAGGACTGAAGCTGGTGCCATAGACAGGTCCACTGTGACCATATAAAATCTTCAACTCACTTGCTGTTTTCTCATCCATGATCCTCTCCAAGACATCGTCTGACTCTTTGTCGATGAGACTGAGATCTGTAACATTTCAAAGTAAACGCATAACAACTGTCAGACGTTCAACAAAGACAAACGTGGTGAACAGCAAAACAGATAGTATTCTTTTTAAGAGGCAAGTATGAAGGGGTTATGAAGACACAACACCTGGGAATTGGTAATTCTGAAATTCAAAATGGCATTTAGAAGTATTTTTACTACTGTAAGAGGTGAAAACAACGCTTTATGTAAATAACCACTTTTTCTCTAGTCTCCACTAAGAGCTAAAATAAATAATCTTGGTACGTTATTTTTCATAGACATACCATCCAGCCTCTAAACAAACTAAAAGCTTCTTGACAGAGATGCCAAGTTTTCTTGTCTTTTCCCAGAAAGTTAACATGCCATAAATACATTCTTCAGGCATCAATGTGTTTTGACAGCTACACACTATGCACAACTTAAAAATAAATTTTAGTCTGTAGGCTACTGTTTGCTGAACAGCACAACCACAACCCAGTTTATATAAAGATTAAGAAATGTCCGTTTGGTATTTAGCTTCAAACGCAACAGTTTCATAAATGGCAGAATTAAAGAAGCCCGATTTCTATGAATTTGTGTAGGTGTTGAGATACTTGACCTCTTCCTCCATCCTCCGTAAAGTTCCCTCTTTTGATTTCCCCAAAGATACCTCTAGTCTCTCCTCCAAATCCCCTATACCCAGCTGTCTCCTACACCACATAGCTACCATCCATTTAAGAAGCAAGACGCATTATTGCTAATGCCAAGCTCTGCATGCTGACTGTCTAGCAGCAGACGTACACAGCAGGTAACTACTGAGCTTTCTGAAGCCTTTCCAGCAGTGTTTCTGGCTAAAGAGAAGAGAATTACTGTTAATTAATTATTGTTTTCTCCAAGACTTCTGCTTGTCAAATTTGGCTGAAAATGATGAACGGGCTCAAAAGTTAATCAGAGGAGAAACAGGCTGATAGAACCAGTCGCCTAAGACTTATCGCATGAGGAAGCCAGGCTAAACATACAGCCCAATGTTCTGGGCAATCCAAACTCTGATTTTCCATAATAGCAAGTCTAAATATAACCTATTGGTCAACAAAAGATATACATGCTTATGCATTGTGCCCAACTAGGGACTAGAGCAAAGCTACAATGCTTCTTTTCAGTGACATAAAAAGGATTTCCTATCTATCTGGCACTGAAAATTCCTTTTAAAAATGTTTCCAACTATGATACATAATATGTAATCACACATCTGTGCACATGTTGCTCATTCCAAAATTAGTGAAGCGACAACATCCAACTGCTGAAGACAATTCTCCTGATACAGACATCTTTCACCGTTCACACAAAGCATAGCTGTCATAAATAATGCATGCTCATCTCAAGCATTATGGTTTTAATTACCTGCTGCTGTTTTCACACTACGTAGCTTTTTCGGAGTCACAGACCACACTCTGACAGTAGAGTCAGCAAAGCCTCCTACAATCATGCTAGAGTCATCTGTAATATCCACTGCAGTTAGACCCTACATACAAAATAGCCATTTATATCAAGTTTGTATCTTTTACGACGCATTTTGAATACTAGAAAATCCTAAATACTAATAAGAAAGTTAACTAGACTGGTTTACAAAAAAGTGTGAATTATTTTAAGATTGACTGGATGAAAGTATAAATGTAGTTGAAATAAACATACAGACATCTTTATGCCATGGAGAATAAAGGTATACGAGCACAGCCTGGTTAACAACAACACAACAGTACTCTTTTCAAGTATTTCAGGGTAAATTATCTACTGCATTCAAGTGTATTCTACAAAATGCACTTAGGGCCCCACATGAAAAGCGAAAGAAAGAATTACAGCAAAATGAGAGCAAAAACACAGAAATTAAACAGTTTAAGGAAGTCTTTAAATAGTATTTTAAAGGGTTAGGAGCATAAGCTTTCAATGCTCATTCCAAATACTCCCGAAAATCTTGCCAACTCTATTATTAAGAGAAAAAAAAAAAAGAAAAGAAAAAGGCAGTTGCAAGCTAAATGGCACAAGGTTTCTCAAAACCGTGGACAAACATCAGATTTTACTGTCCTGAGTATTAGGGGCCAGAGCCTGGCTCCTCCTGGCACAGGAAGCAGAGGAGCTGTTAATTCCAGCTTGCCGCTGCTGATGGGAGAACGGCCAGGGTGTGGGAAACGAGTGTTTCTCAGGCTCAGAGGGCCTCCTCCCAGCAGTGGTAGCTGCTCTCTCCTGCAGTGGCAAGAAGAGCTGCCAGCTCGGATTTCCAATGTTTAACTCTATAAGGTGAAGGTACCTGGGGCCGTGAATATTTTGCCCCTACAAACACCCTGCTAATTTAAGTAACCACCAAGCTTGCTTATGCCCTAAGCCCCTTTCAGTTCATGTACCAGGTTCGTCCCAGGATTTAAGGGCCTACAAACTTATAACCTCAATATTTACCAAGAAAATCTTAGAGCAGAATCGCTATTTAACAGTCAATCCAGCTATCTCAGTCTACAAACCCAAACAGAATCACACATCAGAGCTTCCTTTTTCTCTGTTAGACAGAGTGGTGTTTGTCACTTTGATTCCCTCTTCCATATTACCCAAGCCCTTCTTTCACTAACCTGATAAGCATTAAGGAATGTGTAGAAACAGATGGATGGCAAGCAGTCTGGGCCAAGACGTACACGCCTTGCGGCTTCCTTCACATTCATTATTTTATCCAACTTGTCAGAGTCTTTCAGTTCAGGCAGAGGAATTCTACAAGCAGTACACATGTTATGAACTAAAAGCACTTTCCATATCATCAATTTAAACACAGATACCTCAGCATCTTAATATTCAACTACAAAACAAGAAGAGAAAGAATGAGAGACTATGTAAAAGATTAACTAACACCTCCTCCCTCCCTTCCCCCCCGCAAAAGAGGCGATAGCTCTTCCAGACATTTCATACCAGACAGGCAGTGGAAGAAGATAAAAAAAATCAAGTCTGATCTGAAGAGATGAGAGGGTAACTGAATAAAATTTTAATACGGGAAATCTAGACTGAGTTCAAGGCCAAAGACAGAGGATTACACACCAGGCTTTCCATTACTTCCCTTTGAAAGCCTCATGGCTACAGCTGGAACGCCAAAGAGCCAAAAAAAGATCACGTGAGCCATGATGAAGATTTGATATGACTAGACTGGATTTAACAAGCCCTCTCCACATGTGATTTCCTTGGTACCTGTTTTGGGGAGGAGCATTAGGGTCTTGTTTTTTACTTTTTGACCCTACGCTATCTTTTTTAGGTTTCTTCTTCTTTGGTTTTCCCTCCTCATTTTCCCCTTCTTCATCTTCATCATCCAAAGGCACATCAAACTCTGGTTCTTTAAGTAAGCCAAAGAAAACCTGCAACCCAATAAGACAGACATGAGAACAGTATTTACTGCTCCTACGAAAAAGTGTTTTTTTGAAATGGAAACTCTTCAACATAATAGCCCGAGACCATAAAATAACAGAGTGGCCTATTTAAAGTTGTTATGTTCAATATTGCTGCATACATAACTGGTTAGCCTGTGACGATGTATATGTTCTGCTCTTTGATCCAACAACCAATCTGGACAACTGTAAGTTCTCCGGTCACCTCTTAGCACATTCTTAAAGCAGAATCCCTACAGCTTACATGCCTTATCTATGTAGTACTGTGAGTACGTCAAGATCCACACAGACAGTCCTCACAATAGCAACTGGCAATAAGCAAGAATAACTTCTGTTGTACAAGAGAGAAAGCCAAAGAGTCAGGTGTTCTGAACTGTCTCTCCCAGGGATCCAACAGGTTCTTCAGAGATCAGCTAGCGGTATAGCTCTCTACTCCTGCCAACACCTAATTGCACCGCTCTCTTTGTTCACGCTGTCTCTTGAGATCTGCAGTAGCAATGGTCAGTCTATACTAAAGTGAAAAACGTCTCCCTGAGGGTCTACAATTGCTCAATAATAAAAGTGCAACAATCATTGCCTCCTACCTTTGCTTTATTAGCCTCTCGTTTTGCCTCCCCAGCCAGGCTTCCAACCATAGCATCTATCTGTTGCTTACTGCGAGGCATTCCATCAAAGATATCAATGTAGAGATGTTCCTGAACAATGTTCCAGATCTGATTGTTCTGCTTTTCCTGAAGATGTCTCTTCAAGAGTTGATAAGAGTCACGGGAAATACGTAGCACAAACTTGCTTGTCCGGAAATCCAGCATGGTCTCATTACCTTTCATATGTTCTTTTTTGGTTAAGCTAGATAATACACGCAGGTCATCCTGGTAATAACACTCCTGATCCCCATGAAATCTATTGAAACAACGTAGGATATAATAACATGTTTATTATGAAAACATTATCTCCTAAGTGAACACGTTACTTCAGCATGAAACACATGTGCAAAGAGCTTTTGGGAGCTACTAACTATATATGGAATTATTTTTACTGCTGAAATAAGATTCATCCTGGAGAGGGACACAGCAGTGATTTACAGTACAAAGTAAAAGTATTCAACAGCTAGAAACTAAGATGAGAAGAACAAACAAACGGAAGCTCACAGAATTTCACATGAGCAAAGGGTTACTGCCCGTAGCGAACAGTTACGCTAACATGCTTATTTACAGGAACCCTAATTTGCAGTATCACAAAGTACAGGGCATTTTTTGTTATGGAAGACTATTTATAGCTGATTGATTATATGACTATAAAAGTTCCACAGAGCATAGATGTTTCACGCTCTCCATTTGATATGAGTCTAGAGAAAATAAGTTTTCCATTTTTACTCAAATCATGTTATAAAATACTGATGGGAGGGAACACTAACTGCATTTACAGAACTATTTTTGCTGACCATATTTAAGAGAGAACAAGTTATCCTCTTGGGTTGAAGTATTTCATAATTAGTCTGAACCCAAAATAACAAACAAATGAAATTTGAATTTCTTCTCAAGGGATTAAGTGAGACATAGTGGGAGCACAGAAAATTTAAGATTAGCCATAAGGGAACTATTTCAATCTTATTTGAAGAATTACTATATGCAAGTCATGACATTAGCAAATATTTAGAAAGAGTACCTTACTTTGGCATTTTCTAGTGTTAAAAAATGACCCAGCATTTCTGGGATGAAACCGTAAAGACGGTTTAAAGTCTGCATGTGTACAGTTCAAAAGCATGCAGTCTGCCTATGTTTGTAACACATAAGATTAGAAAAGGATTTAAGAACCGTTACAGTAATCCATGATACCGTCAGTTCAGAATCCAAATCCCTTTGCCATTAAAGAAGAAAAATAGCACAGTCATATACATACAAACCAATGCTACTATAGCTTTCAGTTTTAATCAAAGTAGCAAACCAAAATTAATTCAAATACACCAATGAAAAAAAATTACCTTTCAAAGAAAGACTTTGCTTCACTCTCATGTTGATTGTAAACCAATTCCAAATACATGTGCACAAAGAGAGGATAAAACAGCTGGGATAATTCAGCTCGATGACAGTCCAGGGAACATTCAATGAAGTGTTTCAGTCCACTGTAGTATTCCTCGTACAGTGTCGGGTCCCCCTGCTGATTGTAGGCAGATAATACTGCACTCACATCTGGCTGGTCTTCCACAACAACACCTCCTGCAACTGCAAAAGTGTTACCATATAACAAGAGCTTGTAAGCGAGACTGAAAGAACTAGTAAATACACAGTGGCTAACACATCCCCTGCTAAGGTGAAGTGCTCTGAGCAGAACATAAACACCAAGTCCTGCGCTTGTTCAACACCGCTTAAACATTAAGAGTGGGAGGGATGGCAGCACATTAGCTGCAGCCCACCAGCCAATTCTTCTTGCACCTTCAGCTATTGTTTGTACTTTTTTGCCAATAGCTGCCTATAAGTTAGTTAACATACGAACTTATGGTCTAATTCTGCTAAGATTTTATGTGGAAAGGAAGAAACAATTAACAGCACCAGAATAAGTTCGCTTCACTGCTCAGGCTAGAAACAGTCAGATGAAAAACAGAATCTTTCCAAGCCCGTAAAATACGCCCATTGTAATTATTTTGCTTCCAGTGCCCAAACAAATTTGCTTCAAGTACACAGTTCACTGACACCACAATACAACCACTACAGGGTAGCGGCTTTTTGTCACTTGCTAACAAGTGCTCTCAGAGCTCTGTTCTCCACAGCAGTCAATATATATTTTCACCACTTCATCTTCCATGTAAAAACAACCATATTAGGTGATACCGGGAATAAGCTAACTTACAGCATAAAGTTTACTGAAACTCTAACATACCAGTTCCAGAAATTTCATCATACTTTCAAAATTCTGTGAAGCTGTCCTATGGAGCCCACTGGTTAAAAGCACTCTAACCCAAATTATCCCAAGAACATACCAAGCAGCAGATGACCCCGCCTAGAAATAGAAAGAGCCTCCTTTACAAGTATCCTATGGCTCCTCCTTCAAAACACAGCCTGTCCAACTGCATCCATTTGTATCCCTGCAGCTGCATCTCAGACCGTCACCTCTGACTGCAAAGCAAACCTTCAGCCTCTTGCGCCATTGTTAGTTGAGATGGGGCACAAAGTCTGGGGGAAGCACCTTTCACCTGGACGAGTGCCCCCCTGCGAGTGCAAAGGTTACCCCACTCTTGGCCCCTCAGCATCCCCAGGAGACCGTGGTCCGCTCCTCAGCTCGAAGGCGAGCCATGCGGGGGCCTAATCCACCCAGAGTCCCCCCGTGAAGGGCAGGGCGCGCCCTGGCTCCCTGCCCGAGGGGGCCGCCCCGCTCCCCGGG